GACACAGGAGTCTTTCCAATTCAGGTATATCCTAGCAGTCAAAGTGCCTCAGACTGGTATCAGCAATAAACTCTGTCCATAACTGTGAGTCATAATGCTCCAATCCAATGAGTGGGTGAGGAGAAACTGATTGCATGTGACTCTGACCTTAGCAGCCATGGGAAGGAGGAAAGCAGTCTTCCTTGAAACCTGTAGGAGTGCAGCTTTTGTCAGAGGCTCATATGGTGTCATATGGATGACAGGACGATGGACAAACTTAATTTTGGGAAAGTTTGGGGTTTAGATATCCTCTCGTAGGAAAGACTTCCTAAGTTGATTGAGTACTGGGTGCGTACCTATGGAGACACCATTATGCTAGAGAAATGAGGGCTGGGACGAGTCCAAATTTACTACCCCGGTACCCGCCCCTCTATAACCTGGCCCTACCAAGGAACCTGCTGTAGCTCTTAAGTTTGGCACAAAATGTTCATTTAGAATTGAATTGAGCCCTGTCAAAAAGTGTTTAGATATAGTATAAAATGATCTGATTGTGTATACACTGAAGTTGACTGAAGCTTTGTCTTTACTCAATCACATAAAAAGTCAGAAGGAATGTGCCCATAGTCAGAATGAAATGCGAACACCAGTGACTTGTACTTGTGTAACCATGGAATTTATTGTTATTGTCATGTTACCCGTCTCAGTCTTAGTCTAAATGTCTTATCCTGTCTCAATGAAATCTGCTACAATAGGTAAGGTAATGTCCACGTTTCCCAATCTTCTTCCTCTCTGCCACTGACAGAACTTATTACATCTGGTGTCACATATGGCAGAAGTAGGTCTCCATGAGAGTGCCACTACTTCAGAGACAGGGGACTCAGAGAAACAGGATAGTCCATCCAATTCATGGATAGGGCATCCACCTGGTACTGGACTGACATATCACCAGAAGGATAATGAGAAAGGGGCAGAGATCAAGATCATTCTGTTGTTATTGTCTTGTTCTTCCGGGAAAGACAATCTGCCAGTATGTTAACTTTTCTGGTACATGACGAGCTTTGCAAATCTGAATAAACGTATAGTCTCCCTAAAAAAAATTGTGTCAGGAAACTGGTGTTTTGCTGGATTTGAGCTTGATCCTGATCTGCAGGGAGAAAGTCGTTGATGTAGCTGTGTAGCCTGACTGGACATACGTGTGCAAAGCCTATAATCGGTGTGGTTACTCAAGTGAAGAGTCATGGCTATAGATATGCCAAATGAGAGAACTAGAAACTCGGATCTCCATCTGTTGACCAAAACTGGAGTGGATAGCAGCATGAAGATTTGCATCCTGTAGATCTAGGCTGATTCATAAGGTTTGAGTGAGCAAGTGGCACTTCGAAAAAGTTAGGTACATTCAACCCCCGTGCCTCTGAAAACAGGCTTGCCTCTTCGCCTATGGCATTGTTGAAAATAAGAGCAACTCTACACAGTGAATTATGGCGCCTTAGACGACTGGGCCACCCGTGCACCCTCCAGCAATGTGATTGACTGAGAGGCAACAACTTTCTTGACGAGCTCAGATATCTGTGAGCGAAGTTGGTTGAGGAAATAACGCCTCTGAGTAAGGACAAGTTTGCCTGACATTCACATTTGGGGAGACAGAAGATTATGCTGCATCTTCCAAATGCTACCCATGGCACAATGGATGAACCAACTTGATCCTATCTCACCTGTATCTCCTGGCAAGTCCTTAAAATCCTTGTGAAGGGGAGGTAACATGTGGTGTATTCCTGACAAAAACCAACTGATGTAAGCTCCGATATTCATCATTTGCCTGTTGACTGTGAAGGACAGCCACAGTGAAGTGTTGAACTTAACCCCAGTAGAAACCGGTTCTAGCATGTGAGGTGTAGAAACATTCATGTCATTGGGTTGTACCCTAGGCATTAATTGATAAAGCCCCTTTTAATTTCATTGAAACAGTTTGGGACAGGTGCCAGATTCTCACCCTAAGAACCATACCTGGGACTTTCGTAATCATAACCCAGTGCATCATGATGATGAGAAATATAAGGCTGAGGTAAACAAAGTAGACAGGAGGATCAGAAGGCGCACTTCTGGACACCTTCAAGCATGGGTTAGACACAGTGGCAGCAGGCTTTCCCACCTCAGAGCATGACACCTTCAAGCATGGGTTAGACACAGTGGCAGCAGGCTTTCCCACCTCAGAGCATGACACCTTCAAGCATGGGTTAGACACAGTGGCAGCAGGCTTTCTCGCCTCAGAGCATGACACCTTCAAGCATGGGTAAGACACTGGCAGCATGCTTTCCCACCTCACGGCATGACACCTTCAAGCATGGGTAAGACACAGTGGCAGCATGCTTTCCCACCTCACGGCATGACACCTTCAAGCATGGGTTAGACACAGTGGCAGCAGGCTTTCCCACCTCAGAGCATGACACCTTCAAGCATGGGTTAGACACAGTGGCAGCAGGCTTTCTCGCCTCAGAGCATGACACCTTCAAGCATGGGTAAGACACTGGCAGCATGCTTTCCCACCTCACGGCATGACACCTTCAAGCATGGGTAAGACACAGTGGCAGCAGGCTTTCCCACCTCAGAGCATGACACCTTCAAGCATGGGTTTAGACACAGTGGCAGCAGGCTTTCCCACCTCACCGCATGACACCTTCAAGCATGGGTCAGACACAGTGGCAGCAGGCTTTCCTGCCTCAGAGCATGACACCTTCAAGCATGGCCATGACACCTTCAAGCATGGGTCAGACACAGTGGCAGCAGGCTTTCCCGCCTCAGAGCACAACACCTTCAAGCATGGGTTAGACACAGTGGCAGCAGGCTTTCCCATCTAAGAGCACGACACCTTCAAACATGGGTTAGACACAGTGGCAGCTGGCTTTCCAACCTCACCGCATGACACCTTCAAGCATGGGTTAGATACAGTGGCAGCAGGCTTTCCTGCCTCAGAGCATGACACCTTCAAGCATGGGTTAGACAGAGTGGCAGCTGGCTTTCCCGCCTCAGAGCACGACAACTTCAAGCATGGGTTAGACAGAGTGTTAGACAGAGTGGCAGCTGGCTTTCCCGCCTCAGAGCATGACACCTTCAAGCATGGGTTAGACAGAGTGGCAGCTGGCTTTCCCGCCTCAGAGCACAACACCTTTAAGCATGGGTTAGACACAGTGGCAGCAGGCTTTCCCGCCTCAGAGCACAACACCTTCAAGCATGGGTTAGACACAGTGGCAGCAGGCTTTCCCATCTAAGAGCATGACACCTTCAAACATGGGTTAGACACAGTGGCAGCTGGCTTTCCCACCTCACCGCATGACACCTTCAAGCATGGGTTAGACACAGTGGCAGCAGGCTTTCCCGCTCAGAGCATGACACCTTCAAGCATGGGTTAGACAGAGTGGCAGCTGGCTTTCCCGCCTCAGAGCACGACACCTTCAAGCATGGGTTAGACAGAGTGGCAGCTGGCTTTCTCACCTCAGAGCATGACACCTTCAAGCATGGGTTAGACAAAGTGGCGGCTGGCTTTCCCCCCTCTGAGCACGACACCCTCAAGCATGGGTTAGACAGAGTGGCAGCTGGCTTTCCCGCCTCAGAGCACGACACCTTCAAGCATGGGTTAGACAGAGTGTTAGACAGAGTGGCAGCTGGCTTTCCCACCTCACCGCATGACACCTTCAAGCATGGGTTATACACAGTGGCAGCAGGCTTTCCTGCCTCTGAGCATGACACCTTCAAGCATGGGTTAGACACAGTGGCAGCAGGCTTTCCTGCCTCTGAGCATGACACCTTCAAGCATGGGTTAGACACAGTGGCAGCAGGCTTTCCCACCTCTGAGCATGACACCTTCAAGCATGGGTTAGACAGAGTGTTAGACAGAGTGGCAGCTGGCTTTCCCACCTCACCGCATAACACCTTCAAGCATGGGTTAGACACAGTGGCAGCAGGCTTTCCTGCCGCTGAGCATGACACCTTCAAGCATGGGTTAGACACAGTGGCAGCAGGCTTTCCCACCTCTGAGCATGACACTTTCAAGCATGGGTTAGACTGAGTGGCAGCTGGCTTTCCCACCACAGAGTGCTTCATCCTACCCGGGTAGGAAGTGGAACGGCATTCCTTCCCTGCCTTACCTTATCCTGGCATTAGGATGAAGGTCACAAGCAGACGATGGGTTGATGCATGAGGGGGAGAGTCCATCTTTACAATTTGCTCAACAAAACAATCTACTTTTGTGATTATATTTTCTTTAGAAAAAACCCAGAGGAATAGTACTAATAGGTTTCGGTTTAACTTTGAAAACCGTACAACAAATAAGTTGAAAACAAACTAAACGTGTGCTAACTTCTCTGAAAATGTCTTCTGTTGACTGTATGCACGGAAAGAACACAGGCACAGGCCCCACCACACATGTGCAGTAGCAATGGGAGTGAGATAAGGTTTTCCTAAAGGCTAATTAAGAAAAGCCGACAGTGAAGAGGACATCTATTTAAAATATGAAGGATTTCATAGTGTGATGATATCCAAACTATGGGATTTATGGCTATGATGTAATAGAGGTAGGGTATACCATACTTTGGAAATTGAGAATGGACGTCATAATAAAATCCCAAGAAATTTAAGAAAATGCAAACTTTGTAAATTAGACTGTGTTGAAACCGAGTACCACTTCCTGCTTATTTGTCCATCATATGTCAAGTTACAGCAACTATATCTCAAAGCAAAGTTCTATTGTCATCCTAACATTCATAAATTTAATATGCTTCTGTCATCACCAGATACATATATTATTACAAATCTAGCCAAATATCTATATTATGCAAATGAAGTAAGAAATGCGAAACTGAAAGCTTAAAACCTGTCTGTACTCACCTTTTGTACACAAAGGCCTGTGGCCTATATGTATTGGAAATAAAATGATTGAGAGGTAGGGTATACAAAGAAATGCTTACTTTTACTTGACAAGCAGGATAGTTTGGGCTTTAGTAAGGGACTTGCTGATTCAGCCTTACCTCCTCTAACCTCTTCTTCTTCACTGTGTCACTGAGGTCACGGATGGTCCGGATTCGATTGTTGGCAGGACTCTCAGGACAGATCTCCTAAACATGGAGTACAATGATAGGTCAAAAACAATGCTCTATACACTCTATACAACATGATTGGACATGATGACAGACAAACTTATTTTCAGGATGCCAGTAATGCTGTAATGTATATAACCAAAATTTCCATTTCATTTCACTTTCTATATTAAACATTAATCTCAGATGACATCTCTTGGTATTAGTGTTACATGTTGACAGGTCTTTTGTTCATGATATGTTGATTTCAGAATACTTTTCAGAATATTGTCTGGATGGTGTCTTGAATTGTGTTTGCTTTAGAGCTCTATATCATTTACAAAAGTTGCAAGTTTCATAATTCAAATGTTTTGAAAGAATTTAATCAGGTTAATAAAAAAAGCAAAAATATTATTTTCATATTTTTTTGTGAAAGAAATATATATTAAAAGCAGTAGTCATTGTGCTATATCATTCGTATCAATATTTTTATTAATCTACTTCTTCAAATATCATGATTAGTCTCACTTTTATAAAAACAATTACTGTTGTTCCTAGTTCTGAATACTATAATCTTACTTTCATCTTGTAAATTAGCAATCTATAGTCTGGAAGTTAATTTAAGGTACCAATGTTTACTACAATATCTGAAAAACTATTGGACCTACTCCAGTCAAAGTTGGTATGAGATTATTAAACAGTCATACATAACTGGATATTACATTTAAAGACAATCGGTGCATGAATAACAAATTTCTCTATTTAGCTATCACTATATTTCATCAACAACCAGACCTGTTCATCACGGGTGGAACAAGCATTCATTGTAACAGCCATCTGCATAATGCTATCCCTGCGTCACAGGGCCATATGACACATTTGAACCAATCAACTCAACTCGAAAGGTTGCACGGGAATCACGCCTCACGAATACGTTGTTAGCATTAGATTTCAAGATGTCTCAGCGCAAGCATATTTTTCCGCTGATGCGAAAGGTTTCGTTGTTAAAATATTTGAATACTTTAAGGCTGAAAGTGAAAGACGTTCGCCCTTCTTTGACATTTCAAAGTACATGAAAAAGAACAATTCATGCGTTACAGCTTCCCAAACAAACCGTAGTTAAGATTTTGAACTCTCATAAAAACACATTCTCCCCTGCACATCCCTTAGGGGGGATCTCAAAACAGGATAGGAAATTAAAGTTAGATTCCTTTGATAAGAAAGTTGTCAGGGATGTGATTCGGCGGTTAACACGAGAAAATGAATTTATTTCAACACGAAAACTAAAAGAAATTCTCCTTACAGAGCATGACTTAGATATTTCCAAAGGACCATTTGTAAACTCCTTTCCAAATTTGGATATCAGTACAAAAAGACGAAAGGGTCGAAACTAGCAATGTGTGAACAACCAGATATCATTCGTTTGCGTATCAATTATTTGCGCACTATTAAAAAGAAACGAGAAGTGGGCTATGAGCCTGTCTATTTGGACGAAACCTGGGTTAACGCCTGCCACACAGTGGCTTACCAATGGTCTCACCCAGATACCAGAGAGCCACAGCGCAAGATCCCGCCTGGTAAAGAGGAGCGCCTGATTGTCCTCCATGCAGGCTCCCACAGAGGTTTCCTCCCTGGGTGTGATCTAGTGTTCAGATCCAGATCTACAGATGGCAGAGACTACCATACCGAGATGAATAGTCAGGTTTTCACTGCGTATGTTGAGGAGCAACTCCTCTTAGCAGTGCCTGACAAATCCTTGGTGGTTACATACAAGATCCTATTAACCGTTGTCCAACCTCAAATTCCACCAAAGGTGAGATATGTCAGTGGTTGGACAACAACCGCATTGCTCGGCCCACGAAAGCCAAAAAAAACTGACTACTACCAACTGGTTCTTCAGAACAAACCCCCGCCCTCTTATTTGATTGACATGTTGAGAGAACACAGTCACGAAGCGCTAAGACTTCCTCCTTACCACTGTGACTTGAATCCCATCGAACTAACCTGGGGTGATTTGAAAAATATGGTCGAACGGCAAAATAAGACCTTCAAGCTTGCCGACGTCAAGCAGATTGTCTGGAAAGGGATGGGAGAAATTACAGATGTACGTTGGGCAAACTGTGTCCAACACGTTATCAAAGTTGAGGAAGAGTATTGGAAACAAGACTGTATTCGACCAGATACTGTCCAGCCTGTTGTTGTTCATTTAGGTGACAGCACAGGCTCTGAATCTGACGATGAGGGCATTTCGTGGGACCAAGATTAGTGCAATACATATACCCCTGTTTCACTACGACATGTAATAGCCCGAATTACCACGGATATGAATTCTTACATAATCGTACATATTCTTAATCATTTCTTAAGAATCTTAAATTTATCTTATTTGATTCCCAAACATTCTTGTAGTTCGTGGGATTTGTGAGAAAAAATTTGTTTATCAAAGAATTTCTAGGAATCGTCTACGAATTTCAAGTTCGTGCTTTGTAGTACATGTCGTAATCGGATCTTGTCCACTTTGTGCAATTCTTGGCTCAGAATTTGATTCTCTTTAACTTCCAGACTATAATCGCCAAGGCCTACAATATTAATTAAAATATGATTGTATCATCTGCACACAGCAAGGCACCAATATTCCTACGGAAATTAAATATTTCCTTGTATATATAATTTCAATACCAGTACACATTTTTCTGATTGTGAGTCTTAATCATGTTCATGATCTATGTTTAATATTGGCACCCTGAATAGAACTAAAAACTGTCTTTGTTATATATACTCTTCAAAAAAGGTTGGGGAAACTCGAAAATAACTTAAAACTTCCAAAATTGTAAGAGATACTTGTTTCTAGTAATAGTTGTATTATATTAATAAACAAATTTTGAACACATTACAACTGGTATGACAGAAGCCAACGATCTTGATGAATGACAGGGGTAAGATGGGAAATTTCAAAGTTGATGTTTTTGGATAAGTAATGTGTAATACTGCCACAATTTGTCAAACCTAGTAAAATCCTAGATATTTTTTATATTTGTATACTTATCCTGCATTACTCCTTAATGCATATTACTGCTTGTTCTTGACAGAGAAAAAGAGCTGTGAGGGTCTTTGCTTGAAGAAGTTGCTCCAACTAGCTGAGATGCCAGCCCATCATGCAGCTCTCGCGTGACTAAAGGAATTGACGTCAAGGATCATCACATTACTCTGTAGTCCGAAACATCTGAAAGTATCGTGGGGAGGTAGATCTGCGATGGGCGGGTCCCTTTAGACGCTTTAATGCAGGATAAGTATACAAATATAAAAAATATCTAGGATTTTACTAGATTTTTTACTTATACTGCACTACTCCTTAATGCATCTTTATCGGACGGAACCGGAGGTGGGCATACCTTCAGATGTGGACTTTCCATCTGTTATTTCCAGACTCTGTTCTATAGCCAATCCTAGGCTGTGTGGTCAGCATCGGTTGACCACTCCATGTGTGGGAACCTCCCATACCCTCAGCCTGTCCTCGGCTGTGTGGTCGGCATCGGCTTGGTAAGCCGTGTGAATAGCCACGGGTCGAAGAAATTCCAAACTGGAGGACCGCCCATTGATAATGGACTCCCATTATCTGGTCGTCCGGATGTATAGGGAGGCGTCCTCGATGTCCAGGCTGATGAGCGCCTCCTGCGCCTGGATCCAGGATCGCAGTAGCCTGAGCGTGGTCATCCTGAAGTAAGGTGGACGCGCCAGGTAGAGTTAGTTGAAGGCGGTGAGGTTGTGGATCATCCTGTGCAGTCCGAGTCCTTCTAGGGGACCAGGAAGACAGGTGAATAGGAGCCCGGTGTTATGGCTGGGGCGTGTACAACCTCTATAGCTTTCTTGTATAGCAGCGCCGTGATGTTCCGGCTCAGAAGCTGCTGTTGGGTTGGGGGGTATGCGTCCACTATGAGTGATGATGTCAGTGGCGGGTCGTCTACAAGCGTCAGCTTGTACCCGTGTTGGATGATGTTGGAGACGTATGGGTCCCCCAGGATCTCCCAATTCCGCCAGAAGTGAGTCAGTCTCCCACCTACTGGGGAGTCGACAACTTGGACGACTGGGGTCGGGAGGTCCCAGTCGTGCCTGTCCGGTGGTTCACTGGAGGTCCCTGCGGCTGGCGTTACCCCTCTTGGGGTAGCCGCGACGGGGCTGGTATGAGCCTGAAGACTTTCCTTTCCCCTTGCCTCTGCCTCGAGAGGTTGAGGTGGCACCCCGCCCTCGAGCCCGGAGAGAGTTGCAAAGTGGTTGGTATGAGCCTGCCTGGGACGCCTTAGCAAAGTCTGGCCGTGACACCCTGGCAAGGGCCTTGAGAGCCGTCTCATCACAGGCGAATCTGTCCATTAAAGAGGTCAGCACCGGACCAGGGTTGATGCAAAAGGTCTCTCTTGAACTCTGCGCGCATGTGGGAGCGCATCTGTTCCACCTGTTGTTGGAGGCAGGATACGACGGTAGTTAGATGGTCAATCCTATTGGGGTTGTCCTCCGCTAAGTCCTGCAGTATGGCCCTGGAGGACGACGCCATCAGTGAGAGGGGTTTGAGTGAGTGGCGAATCTCGGTCTCCACGTTGGCGAGTTTGTTGTCGGAGATTCGGACTGAGGTGGAGCGGTTCGATCCCGTCATGTGGTGCATGTCCTCATCTAAGGAGTGATCGTGGTCCGCAACTTGAAGAGAGTTGACTGGGAAGGCATCTTGTTTATAACGTGGGGCCCTGAAGGACGGAGTCAGTGACAGCTTACTGAAGTCCTCGTCCAGAGCTGAGATCATGTCTCTGATCAGTGGATCAGGAGGGATCGAAGTGGGGTCCGCACGAATGACCGTCTTGCTATCGACGACTAGGCAGGGCGAGGGAGCAATAGCCTCCAATCTGTCTGCCAACCAGTCTGCGACCTGGTCAAAACCAAGATGGGATCCACTGTCCATAGGGGTGTCGTCATAACAAGGGATGAAGGCGCCCTCCGAGGAGTCGGATCAATATCCACTGGAGCGCCTGCTAACCGGGGAGCGGCTCCTA